AAATCATTTTGAGTCCACACATTTAATGAGCACTTAGTATGTGTGGGAGGCACAGGGGCTTATTGCAGGGAAGAGAAAGGCAAAGTCTCTGCCCAAATGGAGCTTACATTTAATCGGGGAAAGAAACAGGAAATGTGTGTGTGTGTGTGTAAATAATTAGATGGTTAGTGCTGTGAGGAGAAAAAGCAAGGTGGGATGAGGAGTGATGAAAAGAGGGCGGCGTGAGTCCGAGAGCACTGCAGCAGAGGCCTGGGTGAGCGGAGAGGGAGCCCCGCTCCGCCTGGGAGCGGCCCAGCAGCGCCGCAGGCCAGGCCCTGAAGGCCGCGGCCAGCAGGTGGGCCCCGGCCGGGTGGAGCCGCGAGGGGCCAGCAGGGCGGGGAGGAAGCATCAGTGTCACCAGCAGCAGAGCATGTGCTGTCCTGGAAGCCACGGTAGAGAGTTCCATCTCTTCCGGGTGTGATGGAGAGCCAGCGGGAGCGCCGCCATCGGTGTTTTCAAAGGACCCCTGTGGCAGCGGAGCGGAAGGAGAGGCATACAGCCCCGCGCCGCCCAACGATGGCGACGCCATCTGCGGGGGGGGGTCATTAGGAGACTTCGTCGCTGGGCAGGCCTCGGGGTGCACTCACACCGCCCTGGGCGGCATAGCCCGCCGTGGGCCTGACGGCGCCACCGTGGATGCAGCGCGGCGGCCGGCGCCCCTGCGGAGCATGGCTGCCGGTGGGGCGTCGCCGCCTGCAGGGGAGGGAGGGGCCGGAGCCCCGGCAGCAGCGAGGGAGCTGGAGCGAGGGGTGGCGCGCTGGCTGTGCTCTGGAGGTAGACCATGAGCTGGATGTGGGTTGTGAGAAACAGCGTCAAGGGGTACCCCCCGGGGCTAGATGGCGGGGCCTGAGGGGGAGAAACGCTGGCTCTGCCTCGTGGCCAGGCCGACGCGGCGCCTTTGGGGAAGGCTCCTGCCTCCCCGACGGGCCTGCGCAGCGGGCTGCAGCCGCCCGGCAGGGACTCGCTTTGGCCTGAGAAACGGGGTGAACTGCAGCGTCATTCCACAGTGAGGGGGCCTGGAAGAGGGGCCGACCACGGGCGGTGGGTGGCGGAGGCGGTGGGGACCGCGCT